ATAATGATTATTATGGAAGAGAACAAATTGGCACAACCCAGGAAGCAAAGCAGAGCTCACAACAAGCAACAGATGCCGTGTGGAAGTAAAGTCTTCACTGAGCTAAGCTCAACCCAGCCACATCAGTTACTGGTTTGAGAGCTCTCTGAAAGAGCAGAGTTCATCTCACTGGGGTTAAATTGTCACATTGGTACCCCCACCTGGTTGGCCTGGGGTTTTTCTGCATTCAGTGCCCCACTCCTTCATGTCATGGATGGAACAGACAAGATTTGATTGAACAGTTTATCTGTTATCTTTCATCAGAAATCTCTTGTTCTACTTTTCCCTGACAGATGTAGCAGAATGCATGCTTGCAAATGGTCTTTAGCTAAAATGATTCTTATTCTTTGTGAGTGGTGCAGTGTATTTATGTAAAAAATATTCAGTTTCTGTACAAAGGCCTAGAGAGTGGTGCATAGTAACAACAGGGAAGAGAAGAGCAGATTTAGGAATAGAAGATACTGGTGCCAAGAATTTGGGCCCCAGAGTAAACCTCACCTCTGCTTCTCAAGGTGATGGTGATTGGATAAAGGAGCCTAGTAAATCGGGACCTGGGAGGCAGAACTCTAGCTCCTTCTTTTCCTCCCAATCTTGTTTTCATCACAACAACCACACAAGTGCCTTTTACATTAAACTACAGCTGAGCACAGGAGATTGACAGAATTTTCACTTTTCATCTGGATGGTTCAACATCATGTAGAAACAGCCACTGTAGGCCTCCTAAGGAGGGAAAGGGTAGAAAGCTACCTGCTTGAAAGACTGATTTAAAAAAAAAAAAGTTTAGAAGCCACTAGGTGTTTGGTACTTATTTTCAAGGCTATAAATCCCACAGCAGGTGTACCCAGGCAATCAGGATAGGCAAGAACTCTGATAAATTCCACGGGGATACTTAGGGCCACAGATACCCTGGGAGGCTATAAATAGTCATTAGGAGTGAGATGTTGCTGAACGCGGAGGGAGAAATCCTCCAGTGGAGCAGAAATGTAAATCAGGAACTACTATGAGGAAATTGTGTCTTCACATTAAGAATAAAAGAAGAAGGGGGAAAAAAAGGAAAAGCGAAACTAGATTGTTTTCCAATGGCTATTCAGAACCTGAGTCATTTCAGAGCATTTTAGGAGAAAGGGGGTGGGAGGAAGGAAGAGAGGGAGGGTGGGAGGGAGAGAGCCCCCCCTCCATCTAAATGCGCTTGGATTCTGGGAGGTTTCTTGTAGATGCTGTAACTTCACTCCCAGTCCGTGAGCTTATAAAGGCTGTCACAGTAACTTCAGTTGACAAGGTTGTGTTTTCTCTTTTTTGCAAGAGAACCAAACTTATTGATATACACTGTTTACCTCACACATAGCCTCTGTGGACGTTGGGAGGATTAATATGGGTTTGATAAGTCGTTCTTGAATTGTGTGAAGGTCCCTGCAGCCAAGGCAGCATGCATATGGAAAGCTGTTACAATCATTTTCAAAATCCACTTCTTACCTATTTTGACTCCCAACAAAACATACATTTTAATCGCTAAAATGCTTTCATTTATTGGATGGCATGTCACAAACTTCAGGGAGCAGCAGAAACAGATTTCACTGTATTATATTTAACAGCATAGTTTTCGGGTTGCTTCATTTGTAGTTACAATTTTGATCATCTTTTCTATGAATGATACTCTTATTAGTGAGGTAGGTCACCTTGAAATGTTTCCAGTATTCATTACAAAAAAAAAACCAAAAACCTCTATGGAAACCACATTTTTAAATCTCTCTCTCTCTCTCTCTCTCTCTCTCTCTCTCTCTCTCTCTCTCTCTCTTTTCCCCCTTCTCTCTGTCTCTGTCTTTATGTTTCTCTGTCATCTCTCTGCCTCTGTTTCTGTCTCTGTCTGTCTCTCTCTTCCTCTCCCTCTTTCCCTCCCTCCTTCTGATTGTCCCTCTGCTGTTCCCTAATTTTGCACATGGATTTATACAGAAATTATTGTTGCAAATGTCTAGCAATACAGAATCAGAGTGGTGACAGAGTTAGTAATAATATTGTTAGACCACTTAATATGTTTTTGGCTGACCCACACAGACCCTATTTCAGAAAATGCTTCCATAGACCCAGAATATAATTGATTTATTTCCTCAGTCAGGGAAAGATAGTCACTTATTAGCAATTGAAAAATGAGGTGCAGCATCAGATAATGTGGCATTAAGCCCTACAAGAGTGATCAGACTAAAAGAAAAAAAGGACTTGGAGCTCTGAAAATAGGATAAATAATCATGCTGAAGAGTGCCCACTCGGGAAGTGAATCACCTAGATTTAAATCTAGGCTCCCTTGCTCATCAGCTGAGTGACGTGGACATTATCTTCTATACCTAAATTTCTTCTGTAAAATGATGATATTGAGAACGTGTCTCCAAGATGACCGGGAATTTTTTAAGTTTCTGAATCAAACTCTCAGCACACAGTACACACTGCACAAATGCTGACCTGTGGGGTAATTCTACCTTCTGAGGCCTGAACGTAGCAGCTCTTGCAGTGCCTTCCCCATCCATTAGCATGAGCACCGACAGGGTCCTCTCAGCTCTCCTTCCTGGTGTCCTCACAACCGGGCCCCAGGTCTGTCCTGTTGCCAGGTACTATTGCAGATTCCTTACACCTTGCTTCGATAATTCCTGGACCTTCTCTTGCTACCCATAGACTCTGCTCCACCCAGCACACTGACTCAGACTCTACTCTTTTATGACTATGCTTCCTACATTTTAAAAATGTCTTCCATCCCCTGCACCATCATCACCACCCTCCACACAGGATGAAGTGGAAATAGTTCAGTCTGGCATTTCAGGCCCTTCGCATTCTGGCCTTAGCCTATCCTGACAACATCATTTCGTTCTATTCACCAGAACTGGTACTTTGCCAAGTCAAACTGATCTATCAGCAGCAATGGCATGCTGCCACGCTTCCTAAATCTGAAGTGAGTATATGGATTCATAGAAATTTTTCCAAGGCTTTCAGCCATCAGAGTAAAGGGAAGTCAGACAAAGACATCTATAAAATGATCCTTTTGCCAACACCCCTTTTCTTTTCATTCAAATACCCTAACAGGGAAAGACAAAGGTACATATCACTGATGTGAATACTTTATGAACATAGACAAGTTAGATTCATTCACATTTGAGAGGACATCTGGGCTTCTCTAAATGAGAGCCTCAGAATGTGTAGGTCAAAGTTAGTGGTCCAGGGCTGGCCAGATAGCTCAGCAGACTAAAGCGCCTACTCAGGCAGGCACAGCAATGGGGGCTCGAACCCAGGCTTGCCTTGCCGGGTCCCACCCCCAGGGCACACTGACCTGATGAATGAGATTGGGCATTGGGGCGCATGCCTGTAATCCCAGCACTTGGGAGGCTGAAAACAGGAGGATCACGACAAGTCTGAACTGTGTAGTGAGACCCTGTAGATCCTGTACTAGATACAAAAAAAAAGTTAAGGGTCTAGGTTAGTGTAGGCTCCACAAGCAGTGCAGACAAAGGAGGCTGCCAGCTTCTGGGTTGCAGGGCCAGCTCTGCAGGAGCTGAGGACAGGAACAAGAGGAAGAGGAGTGAGGGCGATTCACTGCTCTGCTTCGCATCATTACCTTACTCTGTATTCCATAGCTTAGTGGATTGAAAAACCTATTTTATTTTGTTCATAATACAGTACATCAGCAAAATAGGAAAGGTTCAGCTGAGAAATTCTTCTTAGGGCTAGAAATACATATGTTGGAATCACAGACATAAAGATTTGCAGTTAAAATAATAGGGAGTATGACACTTTTTCCAAGGAAAATGTAGAGAGAAAATAGCCAAAAGTAGAACCTCAGAAATACCAGCTCTTCAAGGCAAGCTCAGACAGATGTAGTTCAGGGCTGAGGATGTAGCAGAGTAATAGAGAACTTGCCCAGTATGTGCTGAGGCCCTAGGTTCAATCCCAAGCATAGCAAAAGTAAAACAAAAAGATGTGTCTGACTTCTAACTTAGCACATTCCTTGTATATCAATGATTACTTTAAAAGAATTTCCCTGGACACTGAGAAAAATAGGTGACTGAGAACTCTGCCTTCCACCTTAAATCTCCTTTGAGATTCCTGTTGGGCTGCAGTCATATATTGCCTGGGCTCTCAGTTATCTGGAAACTCAAGGGCACAAATACCAGTAACTTTTTCTCTAAGGCAGTGCTGTGCTATATGATCCAGGCTACTCTCAAACTTGAACCCTTCTGCCTCAGCCCCCTGAGCTCTGGGATTATAGAAGTATGTGCCACCATATCTGCCCTAAAAACACATTTTTAAAAGTGAACTGAATAAAAAGAAATAGCCACATCATGTAAAAGTGATGCTATTTATAATGAAGTAGGTTTTGGTGCAAGAAACAAACAACTTTACAATCTCAATAGCTAAAACACTAGGCGTTTACTTCTTGCTTAAATTACAGATCTGGGGCCAAGGTGATAGCTGAGTGGTCTACACCTTCCTAGCAAGCATGGGGAACCAGGTTTGGTCCCCGACACCTCATGACATGCTGGGCATGCCCCGGGTGTGCCAAGCTTGCCACTGAAACCAGGCATGGTGGTGCACACCTGTAATCCCAGTGCTGAGGAGGATGAAACAGGAAGATCACTATGAGTTTGAGCTGCGTAGCAAGATCCTGTACAAAATACGTAAATTTAAAAAAAAATTACAAATCTGCTATAGAACTGTGGAGGACTGGAGCTCAATTCCACATCATTATCATTCTTACCCTTGTGATCCAGGCCAATGGAGCAGACACTTTGGAAATACTTTGGCCACCTGGAAGAGAGGAAGAAAGGAGGATCTGGTAATGCATAGACAGACCCTTGAATCTTCCTCATGGAGGTGATCTAACTTACTTCTAGTTAGCTTTCCTTGGTTTTGTTAGTGCATATTAGAAATACAGAATAATGAAGTTCACCTTGATATATTGGGACATGAATCATTTGATTAAGAACATGGAGCATTTTGTGAATATGCACGTCACCGTTATGCAGGTACCATGCAAATCTTGTCTGTATTCCTCCAATTTTAGCATATATGCTGTGAAACCCACCACTCTGTCCACTTTTCATTGACTAAAAATACACTGTAACCATGCTTGAGTGCAGTCAAGTACAGTAGGAATATAGCACTACATTTCCCAAATGAAACAGAAAGCCAATCAAGAAAATAGAGGGATGGGGGCCGGCCAGATAGCTAAGCAGCAGGTTAAAGTGACTGCTTAGGCAGACACAGGAACAGGGTTCAATTCCTGGTATGTTGTGCTGGCCCCGCCCCTGGGGCACACTGAGTTGGTGACTGAGAGACTGGGCGTGGTGGCACATGCCTATAATCCCAGGGCTTGGGAGGCTGAAAGCAGGAGGAGCACTACGAGTCCGATCTGTATAGTGAGACCCTGTAGACTCTGTACTAAATACATTAAAAAAAAAAAAAGAAAATAGAAAGATGGAGGAAAGGATAAAGAAGGGGGATAAATATACAAGATAGCTAAGATAATTGTACTACTAATTTCTGTTAGTTTGTTGTAAGGAACAGTTGGTACTTATATTGCTAGATCAATCTTGCATGCCTGTATCTGGTAATTTGAGCAACTACTTTGAAGATAATGACACGCAACATAATAACCATTGTTAATTTCTTATCTTATTTTGAAATTCTATATCATTTTTAGTGATCTTTTTATTCTCTTAAAAAAAAAAAAAAACCAGAAATAATGACTGACCCAACAGATATCTTCAACAAAAAGGTTTACTTTTGATTGGGAAATCAGAAACACTGTTGGATGGAGGCAAGAAGAGATAAATACATGTTCTGCATATGGAGTAAGGAGGACTTAAGAGACAGGAAATGGAGAGAAAAGAAGGAAATAAAAAAGGCACAGAGGTAAGAAGGCGCTAGGCAGTATTACAGGAAAGAGTCCTAATTAATTGGAGAACGAGGTGCTAGTTTATTCTTTAAAAAATTTTTATGCTGGATAAAGGCTGAATTTTCTCTATACCAAATCTGTGCGCTTGATAAGCTTGAGAGGAAATGATATGCTAAGTTACAGAATGGATAATGGGGTTGTGTGATAGGCCACAAAACTAGGTTCAGAAAATAAATGAAAGAATAAGCCCTGAGGATGAGATTTAAGAAATAACTTTTGTTTAAGTCACAGAGACAGGATGCACCCTGTTAGAATTAGAAGATTATAATAGAAAAGTGTGCCCAGCAAGAGGAGACATGCATATTCTCTGATAAATTTTGAGTCACCTTTCATGAATAAAAGAATAGATTGCATGGTCTTGGTTTTAGCTATATTGTGCCACTAACATCTCCTGGTTCTTCGGGTAGGAGAAATTACTAACATGAAAAATATCTTCCTTTGTTATGATCACCACATAATGGAAAACTAGCAGTTTTAGTGCTGTTCTAAAAACCAATTTTTTATTTAAAGCAATAAATGATTAACTAGCAAATTCTAATTAGTATCCTCCTGACTAAAAACTCCTGGCTTGCCTCCATTGCAATCAACAAGATGGTATTTAGTCAAAGTTGTTGAATTGAGTTCTCTACAGTAAGGCATAAAAAATTATAGGGAATTACTCTAAGTTATTCATCCTTTTCTTTAAAGGCAAATGTTTTGCTTAAATAAGATTTCTTGCCCTCCTCACAGCTTGAAGCACATAATACTTCTGGTCTAAATACTAAGGCTGTAAATTCCAAATTTGTTTAAAGTTGTATTCTATGATTCTCCTCCCTTCCCTTCTTGCATCTGTGTTGTGCTCATCAACTTCCCACTCTGGAGCCCTGAGGGGAACAATTTAGTCAGCACCCCACCACTTGCTGAAGTCCATCCAAGAGCTTTCTAGAAACAGCCAGCTTCCAGGTTCTCCTGGCCCCAGCACAATTTCTGAGGCCCACTTTGCCCAAAACTAAGAGGGAAAAGGAAGGACAGAAAAGGAAAGCTATGTAGTTTGGGGCCCTAGAATCCTTCGGTGCCACATCCCTAAGTTCCTTCTGAAGGTCCTAGCTTGTAAAGTATCCGTGAGCCTGAGACCTACTATAAGGTGAAACACCCTGCAGTTCCTGCCTATAACAGGACCCATTGACATTCTAAATATGTGTATGAAGGCTTCTGGTGGACACACTGTGGTATTTATGTTCCTAGTGCCTGACAGGATCTCTTCCTTGGGGGCTGCATTATATGTGCACATGAGTGGAAGGTGGAGAATGAGGAGGAAGAGAGGGCCAAATTTGGCTGGACCTCAGGAAGAAAGGGTAACATGTCAACAAGCTGTGA